GCAAGAAGGGAATGCCGGCCAAGAAGCCCAATCCAAGAGATGCTCCAGTGAAACAAAGACCGGTTAGGTCAAAGTCATCTCAACGGCCGACATCAAGATCAAAAGCAAGTACTGAGCCACCCATCAGATCGAAAAAGAACTGGGTCAAACCCAACTACAAATGGGTTCCGAAAGCTTAATCTCCCAAATCAACTAATGACTCTAATATTTCTACATCTTCTGTTTATGATAAACATGACATGTCATGGGAGAATGTTCCTTGCAAGGATGACAAAGGTCAACCCAGTTTCAAAATGGACTGGGTTCCAAAGACCAACTGATCCAGCTCTGTGTCGGAGCAGCTATGGAGGCATATCATCAGACTTCGGTTTGTTGGTAGTGGCTGTTCCAGGCACATGATAGGGGACATCTCTCAACTGTACAACATTCAGACCTTTGTTTGAGAGTATGTGTCATTTATAGGAGAAAGGAAGGAAGGAGAGGATCACATGGGGTTAGTGCTTAATGACATGAAGAATTTTTGGATCTATTCTGAGATTACGCGTGCTGTTCTCAGACCTTCTGGATGGAAATTCAATCAGTGACTTACGGTTTGAGTTTTCTTCTCTATACTCCTGAGTTTTTCTTAAGTTGATTCGCTTTAAAGACTAATTTTTGTTTTAGGATAGTTTAAATTTGCGCATTTACTTTCGTTTCTCTCCTATGCATAAATTTAGGGGGAGAAATAAAAACAAAACAAAAATTTCAAAATTTCAAAAATCCAAAAACATTAAAAAAATCAGAAAATCAAAAAAATGTTGTTAATGAAATGTTCTTGAGGGAGATGTTATGGGAAGTGATATAATCATGTGATAACAGGCAATCTGAATCTGTGTAAGGGACTAAATCTGAATTGTCTAGGCTCTGTGTTCGATGCGCTGGTAGGCACGAGAGATTAAAATGGACTTGACTAGGCAGAGTTGAACTTTAGGAATTCAAAGACTTGACAAATCTTGACCTAGTTAAATCCATTTAGCCTGACAATACGACGCTGAGATAGGTTGAGCAGGGAGATATACATGATAATCCACCAGTCACACTAAAATAATCCGTATCTAGAGCTGTGGTTTAACTCTTCCTCGATGTACGGACTCTGTCCTTAATTCCGGTATTTATGGGGCGACTGGGGAATTCCGATAAAGTAGGTCTGTAGGAAATTATTTTCTTGCTTTCTTTCTGTTAGTCATATGTTGCCTCCTCTGCATGATTGAAATACATCCGACCTGGACTGCAACATATGCAATTCTATTTCTCTACATCTTCTATATATGCAATTCTTCCTGTCTGTTAGTCATATGATGTCTCTTTTGCGTGATTGAAATACATCCGACCTGGTACACAACATATGCACCATTCTACTTCTCAATCCCTCTAAATCTGGTTAGTCATATGTTTCACCCTCTGCGAGATTGGAAGAGATCCGACCTGGGTGTATAGCATATGCACTCTAAATCTGACTTTTCTCATAATAATTGTCTCCTCACCTAAAGTAAGGAGTACTTTGGAAGTTCCTGATTATTGGGGTATGTCAGGAAGCGGGAAACATGTTCTAGTACATTTAAAATTGAACAATCACTAGGTTGTGTGTAGATCTCGCTGCTCAATTTAGGTGGACAACAATATCTTTGGTCGTCGTCAGCTGAATGGTCTTTTAGGAATATTATCTAGGAACATAAGATCACATTCTCTTGTCACTTATAGTATGTCCTAATTTTGTCACAATCTCTCGTGTTTAAGTGGACCACAATACCGGCGATTGACCAGATCTATTCATGAAGAGAGAGGTACTGATAAACGGATAAAGGCTGTCTAAAAACTTTGATCCCAAATCACTCTTAAAGTTAGATATCATTTTATTTTTGTTAAATTTGTTCATAGTTTCTTCTAATTTAAATATTAGGGGAGAATTAAAAATTTTAAAAACCAAACAAAAATCAGAAAATTAAAAATCCAAAAATAGTGTTATTTCTGTTTTATTTCTTTTTCAGAAAATATGAAAAATCCAAAAATATTGTGTGCTAAAATTTTCTTTTAGTTTTGTTTTGTCTTGAATAGTGAATTCAGGTGAAGATGAAACTCATGGAGTTTGTGTCGAAAATTTCTGAGCCAAGGCTTCATCCGTGAGCATCGAAGAATTCTCATTCGAAGGAGCAAGAAATGAAGATTATTCTTTCAACATTCAATCTTTCAACCCTAGTAGCAAGGTGAAGCTGTACTTGAAGATTATGTGACAGATTGCATTGAAGCCTCCTCAATCAGTATGCTGCTATCTTGAACCTGCTGAAGTGATCCAGAAGATTTGTTCTCTCTGATATTCTCTCTGAAGATTCTCAAGCTGAAAGCGCTATCTTTCAAGAATCAGTACAAGAAGCATCCTCACCCAATGTGCGTTCAATGTCAAATTCTGAAGAAAAGCCCAAATGCTCAAGATGAAGTCATTCATTGAAGATTCATCAAGTTCATCTTGAAGCTGTGAAGAATTTGAAGATTAATGCTGAAGCCAAGCTCCCAATGAAGATTAACAAGAAAAGCCAGCTACTTTTTAGGGGAGCTTGTTGGGTCAATTTAGAAAAGAAAGCTATAAACCAAGGGGGGAGATTGTTGGGTCAAAATATTGGTTTATACTTTGCTTTTCTAGTTGATTGTTATTTTCTGTAATATTTTATGAGTTTACGGTCAGGTTTACGGCCAGGGAGGTGTTTACGGCCGTAAAACAGGTTTACGGCCGTAAACCTTGTTTACGGCCCGGCCGTAAACCCATTTACGGCCCATGTTTCTCATGTATATATATAGGGGTGAGGGGTGTGAGGAACAGATAGATGAACAGAAAAGGAGTGTACGGAATAGAGAGAAAAGAGAGTGTGTGTTAGTGTGTGTGAATCTTGTATCCGGATCTTCATTCATATCAATACATACAAGATTCATCATCTTCTTCTTTTCCTTCTCTTCTATTTTGATCTGACATCATCCAATTGATTGGGATTCCACACCATCAATTGGATCTGATTGATACACAAGTAGATTAGGGACTTATAGACTCGTCGAGTCCCTTCAGACCCTTTTCTCATTCAAACGTTTTAAGGAAAATTTACAACCCCAAACTCTAGATCTAGCCTCCCAAGGCTGAGATACTACATAAAGCTACAATCTTTACGTCCATGCATGGCACTTGGGGCTTGAAATGCCAAAACAAGCTCCATTTTTAGGGTCTTAATCATAAAAGCTCTTCTATTAGTTGGATAAAGCTGGGACCTTTGGACTCTGGGACCTCACAAGGTCCAGATCTGAAGTCTCAATCTCTTGGTAAGCTCAACACACTCAAAGCCTCAAGGAAAGATGGAATAAGCCCTAAAACTCCATACAATGAGATCTAATCAAACTAATGAGCAAGGTGGAGACTTTTTACCTTCGACCGAAGCTATAGATGAAATAACACCAGATCCAACAGTCCCTTCTCGTTCCTTGCTTTGATACTCTTCTCTTCTCTTCCAAAAGTGTACTAAAATGCCCAAAGATTAGCTCTCTTTCTCTCTTAGATCAATATGGACGATTAGGGTTTCACACAGGGGAGTAAGGTAGCTGGTGAGGTAGAAATGATGGCTTAAGGTCCTTTAAATAGGACCAAACCCCGGAGATTTAGGGTTTCCTCTCACAGCGCCAACTCGTTGAGTTGGTCCCCCCGACTCGTCGAGTTGGTCATAAAACCCACGTGGCCAAATCCGTCTCTACTCGACGAGTTGGGGCATCCAACTCGTCGAGTTGCTCAATCAACTCATAAATATATATAAATTTTATACCTGGGAGTCGGGATGTTACAATAATCTAACATTTAAAGTTTCATTTTATGACACTTGGCCACTCACTTCATAATAAAACATTTAATGACTAGAAATTACCTCAATTTTGGTATCAATAATCATTTGGTATCAAATATTACGCATGGTGAACTTGGTTGAATAGTTCAATGAGTTTGGAGAAACATGGTTCTCTAGGGCGACTGATAATGTTACAAAACTTTCAATTGATAATGTATTCCTTCAAAAACGCCCCGTTCATAGAAAAAAACAATTTTGATGAGAATTCAAGTAATCATGATGTCGTACTTATAGCCGAAGAGAATTGTAAACTTATTTATTTTTTATATATTGTAGATCAAGCACGTGCATCACTGAAAATGAGATTTGAACACTACAAAGAGTATGAAAAGAATTTCATTTTTTTGTTTCCTTAAAAATTTAAGTAATTCGATGACAAAATTTAAGTTGTGTTGTAGTCATTTGAAACCTACACTGAAGTATGGTGAACGATCATATTTTGAAACCAATTAACAGTCTGGAGTTAGTTTCTTGATAAATTCTTACCAATTGAAACTACCAACCCCACCGATGTTTTAGAATATATGAAAAAGTCTATTGTTTTCTTAATGCATTTGTTGCATAAAACGTCTTGTTGACTATTCCAATAACAATAGTGTCTATAGAAAGAGGTTTCTCAAAATTGAAATTGTTATAGTCTTGCTTACGGTTCATAATATCATAATAAAGATTTAATGGATTGACAATGATATTGAAAACGACATATTGAAGAATATTGATTGTAAAGAGTTGGGGAACAAGTTTGCTTCCAAAAACGCAAGGAGCTCACGATTCATGTAACTATGTAAGGTTATGTATTGTGTTATTATTCTTTTGTTTTGATTGTTTGTATTATAATTATCGATTTATGGTAGTATTAATAAATTTTGCTTATATAAAAAAAACTGTATTTTTAGGCTCATTTTTATATTTCCTACAAAAGCCTTTAAAGGACCACTCAAAAATTATCTAAGTTGAAGTCGAGATTGAAAGCATCGTTCATGAATATAACAATATATTACACAAAAAGAGTGACATGCACAAATATTGTTTATACACTTGATAATGCACTATGCATGTGGTCGATTATTAACAAAATCAAATGTTTCAAATTTCCATTCCTTGGTGGTGTTGTTCATTAAAACTTCTGAGTCTCATTCCTCCGACCCCCAAGAAATCAACGGTCAAGTTTTCACCGTTCCCGTCCATTTTAAACCTCAAAAAGGGATTGTTGGAATCATTCAATCCTGGATTTGCGTTATGCCCAACATTGTTGTTGTTATTGTTCATAATGAGCTCTTTCCGAGGGTTCATGTACCCCGAGTACAATCCTACGTCATCGCTATGCCCTCCTCCATTATTGATACTTGGGTTAAAGAACCGTGACATGGAAGTTTCTTGGAACTGGCTTGAGAATCCACCGCCGATAATCCCAGCTAAATGTGATTGATGAGGATGATACTGGTCAATCAGGGTCTCAGTACCGTTGTATGCACCACCCCCACCAAAAGATGGAGGTGCCATGGTAGTAACAAGGTTATTCATGCTACCATTATTATTATTAATATTATTGCTACCATTGCTAGACGTAGCTCCCATTTGGGCTGCTTTCTGTAACAAAGCTGTGGCTGAAGTAAGAGGGGACGAGAGCGTGGATCCGCCTAGCTGGAGAGAAGAAGGCGATCCATTTCTGGGGCTACTGCCAAATAGGCTGCCACGACCACCTTGCATGATGTTCAGAGGCAGTAATTCCGATGGGGTTTTGGAGTCCGGCATACCACCATGGCTGAATTCTGGTGAAGTGATGGATATTGTGTGATTGATGTGTTGGTTGAGTTGATCATTAGGAGTGCTATGATGGTCTTGTTGCATGGTTTGGCTTAATTTGTTGTTTTCTTCAGCAAGTGCATCACAAAAGGCTCTATGAGTTATGAAGCTATCCCTTCTGTATACAAATTTAAATCACGAAAGAAAGAATTTTTAACCAATTATTTGAGTATGCAATATATATATATATATATATATATATATATATATATATATATATATATATATATATATATATATATGTGTGTGTGTGTGTAAACTTTTTATTAAACAAAAATCAAAGTAAATAAATTGTCCATCACAGTTGAAGACGTGGAAAGGCAATAATGACAAAAATCAAACATATTTAATCTAATGTAAAGTGTATGTTTAATCAATTTTTAATATCTGAAGTGGAGAATACAGTGTTTATAGTTTTACTTTCAATCATATAACCCTACTAAAAATTGACTACCAAACAAAATCTCATGTTGCATTATAAATATCAATGAAATAGAACAACTTTTTTATTTGTATCACGTTAGGTTTTTGCTATTACTATTTAAAATAATGAAAATATGTAAATTTTTCAGGACGTGTTCCTAGTATATATCATATTAATATATATTTTGAAGTTGATAATAATATCTCAATTATTATGAAAATTGAACTTTAATTGGTTCATTTAAGAACTCTTAATTTTGTAAGATATTGTGAATGATTTTCAATCACACGTTTTCGAAAACAAAAAATAAAAAATTACACATCATTTTCATGAATTTTAACATCTAAATAAAAAAAATCATAACAAATCGTTCTATTTGAATATTTCACTTGGAATATTGTTAAGATTTTGAAATTATGCACATCATAATATTCTGATATAAATATTACATAAAATTATACTGGTATGAATAATAAAAAAATGTTAATTTTAAAAGTGATGAAAATTTTTATATATAATATATATATATATATATATATATATATATTATATATATATATATATATATATATATAGAGAGAGAGAGAGGTAAGTTCAATTGAGAAAATAAAAAAAGTTGAGAATTGGGGAATCGTTCTCAGCCACTCATTTATTTTGCCGCAAAAGCCTTTGTTGTACCAGCGGAAATGGATAAGGAATACACATGTGTTTCCAACAAAACATGTTTCCTTAACTATGTTAATCATTACCTTAATATATATAAAAAACATAGTTTTTTTTTGTTTTTTTAATTTTTAAGAAGCTATTTATATCGAAAAATTATTTTAAATATACCAAAATTCATGATTTTTTATTCTCTACAAATAGACATTCATATTGATATACTTTTAAGATAAAATAAAAAATTTATTTTTTTTATATTTTCAGCTATCGTTATTGATAAGTGAATAAAAATACATCAGATTTTTGCTACAGTACATTCGTTATTCACTTATGAATAAAAATTATATAATTAATTTTTTTTACAGTTTAAGTATCATTTATACTACTTATTCATATATGAATAACAAATTAACTGTAACAAAAATTTGATAAATGTTTTATCATATATGAATATAAAATATGACGACAACTAATATACGTTTTATTCATATTAAATATAATATATGATGAAAGATGATG